GTATATGACTATACGAAAGCAGGTAGACACGATGGAGCCACGCCCTGCAAGGCCGATTCATACCACAGAGGAGTTCTAGAGTGTCTGGAGTGTTCTAGAACCGCTTCAGGAATTTTTAGGACTGGCTCCCTACGTCGCTGCACGCTTCGCGCACAACCGTAATACTCCTTACACTTGTGAACCGGCCATTCCTCTATGACCTTAATCCACTTCTTCCCATTCTCTGGAGTGCCTTGATGCTTTGGAAGCGCTTTACGATTTTTTTAAAATTTGGCTCCATTTCGCCGCACGCTTGAGATCACGGAGTGGTCAGCGGTTCACTAAGCCCACAAAAGTTGTGGGCTTAGTGAACCGCTGACCACTCCGTGATCTCAAGCTAATTATTTTTTCCAGGGTCTAGAGTGTTCTGGAACCGTTTTGGGAATTGTTTAATGTAGCTCCGCCCTCCTCGTCGAAGGTTCGGCCTACGGCGGGTGTGCCTCACACTTGCAAACCATTGACCCCTCGCTGATCTTAGCAGAGCAGAGTTGGAGAGTAATGGAGCTGAAATACGAGTAATAAGCCAGCAAGTTAAGGAAAAAGGGAATAAGGAAGAAAAAGCAAAGTAAAATCATCGGGAATGCCCTTTGTAGGAACCTCTGCCGATCCAAGGTTGCATGTGCAAGAGACAGAGAAAAGGCGTGTCCCGGACGAGTTCTCCGAGGTGTCCGACAGCGCCGTTGGCGTGGGCAATTGGCCAAACGTTGTAGTGTGATTGCGTACGACGAACGAATGCCGCTATCTTACGCGTAATTTCATTATCCTTCCGACGAGGTGATGGAAGCTACACACATACTGTCGCGCAGGTCGCGAGCATAGAAGATTTATCTTTCCTGTAGTCCAAAAATATGTGGTAACCGCGTCATCTAGTCGCGATGAAGGTGACGACCCACGCACCTCTCCATACTGCACCCAACTTCTGATTGTTTACTTCTGACGACTACCTACGACTACCTAATAGATCGGCTGTCTGGTTAATAGCTATCCCATTCCAAGTGATCAGAGCGAGGTGATTTTTGAAAAGAGCTGCTACCGCTATCATACTAACAAGTTAGAAGGAGCCCTCTTTCCGCTTTATGGACGTTCAAGGTCGTTCCGGCATGAGCTCCTATCTGGGGTTTTTTCGACAGATTTTTTTCTGCCTTTCTTTACTACAGAGTCACTTACTATATCGCCATTCATCATTTACCGCCAGTACTCATAACTTGTAATCTGGGGACGTGCCTTTAACACCTCGATCTCTATATCCACTTCAATTTTTTGATTTCTTGCACAATACAAATCAATTTACGACATCTTTATCATTCTGATCAACAGTGGCTTAAAGACACATGGTACGCTCAAACACATTGAGGGTGTATGAGACTATCAGCCCCCCAGCTGTCGATGTGTCGTGGTCCCCCGCCCAAAACTGCACGGGGTCAGAGTACGGGGCCGTGGGAAAGTCGTAATTCCTTGCTACACCGCCCATTTCGCAAACTCATGTTTGCGAAATGAGCGGTGTAGCAAGGAATTTGGATATGGAAAAGCCCCCACAAATTCCTATCCGCAGCCTCAACGTGGCGTGGGGGTAAACTGGTTTGGACTGTTCCAAACCGTACCAATGCGGAGGGTGCCACGTCAGAGCCGGCGCTGGCGAGCTACGCGTGGTCAATTTCTTCACGCCGAAAACAGTAATAAATTATGGGCCTCATTCCCCTGAACCTGAGGGAACCACCGACAGGGCGGCGCTGCGAGAATCAGAGGCCAACGGAGATTCAAGTCGCCCAGGACTAGGATGACGATCTGTACTTTCAACGCACGGACGCTTGCATCGGAAGCTCACATCGAAGATCTGATGTTGCAAGCCAGGAAGATCAAGTACGACGTCATCGGACTGACCGAGACGAGGAGGCATCGCCCGCTACACGCCGTATACGAGACTGGAGAAGAACTGTTCCTCGGAACATGCGACAGCAGAGGCGTTGGCGGTGTGGGCGTCCTCGTCAACACGCACTTGGCCATGAACATTGATTCGTACGAAAATCTGACGAGACGAGAAAGAGACGAGCCCAGACGTCAGAGAGTTCCAAGATTACCAAGAAGCGTCTATCTCTGGAAACTCTCGAGCTGATTCGCCAACGTGGAGCCGCACGAGCCGCAGGCAATTACCAGCTGACGTCTGAGCTTGCGAAGCTATGCAGAGAAGCGATAAAGGAAGACCTCAAGGAGAGAAGAGCAGCAGTACTGGTGGAATGCAGAGGCTGGGAAGAGCATTCACAACGCCCGCCGCAAGTTTGCATAAAAACCACGATTATGGATATCCACACCTGATAATCACTGCTTCCCGAAAGGGCAATGGAGGTCATCCACGACTTCTACTCGGATCTCTTTGACAGCCACGTCCACCTGCAACCATACCGCTTGGAGCAGGATGGATATGTCGTTCCTGCAGTTCTCCCTTCCGAAGTCCGACACGCCATCTCGTCGGTGAAGTTGTCGTGGTGAACCATGACGTGCGATATTCCATTCTGTGTAATAGCTTGTCAGTGTAATGTTGGTATACTGTATCGCAACACGTATATAAGTGTCGTCTGATCGATTGCGAATAGTTTTGGATGGAAATAAAGGAGAAGTTAACCACCGTGTCATTCTGGTGCATCGGCTTAAACAGAGCTAAGGGAAAGGTAAGGTCACAAACAGGTTCAGCACCCGTAGAGGTGAAAAGACGAGAGTCACAGTATCCAGCATCAACAGAGGTGCGTGCGAGTATTCGCTGAAGCTTAAAGATATACAGAGGTGGAAAAGTTGAAATTGAGAGAGGGTAAAGAAAGAGTGGGAAAAAAAATTCAGAAACGCTATAGAGGACGGTTAAGAATGCAGTCGATAATATCGGGAAACCAATAGTACATAACACTGCAACGCTGAGATCCCTCAGCGAATTTCAAAATATACGCTGAACCGCGAACATATTCAAGTGACTCGGACGAGACTCAGTATGAAGAAACCATGCACGCTATTGACCTAAGTAAAGGTAGCATATCACAGATCGACTTTGCTAAAACGAGTCTCCAGTCGCTTATCGATAAAATGAAGGATTTCTACGGCAATACAAAGAACAAGGAGGAGAAAAATTCTGCTCCAACAGTTCGAGCAAACTGAACAAGAGACCCAGTTCAAGAACGTAATGAAGGAAGCGGTGGAGCTTCAGTTAATGCTGGGAACGCGCTTGACAGAAGCAGTCAGCAACGAAAGAAGACTTGAACGCAAGCTAGGAATACTCTAAAGATCGATGCCATCAATGGAACAAAACGCTAACGATATTTACTCAAACTTGCAGGCTACGTAGGGATGACCAGCGCCACACATTCCTCATAACTCGTCGACGACTATGAAGCTAACGCCCAACTCGCTTTCATGTCGCGCACAATAGCACCACCCAGAGTTAATTACCTATTTTTCTCCGGAAATGAAGAATAGTTTCCAGAGTTCTGGGCAATTTACGAGACTCTTGTTCATCACTACCCCACTCTCGCTGTAATCGAAAAAATGCTATTACTCATAGAGAGTCTCCAAGGGAAGTCTGACAGGTCAATCCGAGGTATACAACTATTACCACAGAACTATGACTGGATGATAAAAACGCTGCACAGAAAGTACGGAAATAAGCCAGCCAAAGAGCTCGTATAGTTCAACAGCTCAACGATCTCCAAAGAGCCAACAGATCAGCAGAGCGCTGCGAAGTAGTCTACGACAATATCTGCATACCCTGGTGTGCAAAACTTAGGGACGAAAGCAACTTTCGATCACTGTGCCTCTGCCAGACAACATAGCTCGATGAAATGAACCTTAACGATATTGTACAGAAAGCAACTGACAGAAACTCGAATCATTTCGATT